TGCAGGTGAGTATAAATGGTGGTTGTTGATTTCTTTCTCTGATTCCCCACCCACCCCATGGGTACCTAGAGAAGGAAGGGTGATAGCAAAGGCTGGTATTTAATTCCCCTCTTGCCAGCCACTCCCAAAAATGCTTTCCAGGAGCTACGAAGCTTTGCAAGCCAGGCTTGCGCTGGGTCCAAAAGCTGCTGGGAAAGGCCAACGTCTCTGGATGTGCCGAGCGGAAGGACAGAGTTCACAAAGTTGAACCAGGCGCCGTTCTCACCTGGGGAGGACCCAGCTTCAAAACTTAGCACACAGTGAGTCTTGGGGAAGGTGAGAGCACCCCGGTGCATGTGCAGAGTGCAGCAAGTAATGGCAGCCACCCTGCCCATGCACGGATTGGGTTCTGCGTGGTGGGGAGTCTTGCTCCTGTAACTTGTGTCCCAGGGAAAATGTCGCTCCCCGAGGGAAGGCAGGTCGGGCAGAAAACGGAGTGCAAGCTTTGGAAACTTCTGAGCCAATTTTTAAGAATGCATCCAGAGAAATGGACCTCACAGGGAATGTGTGTGTTTGAGAGAGAACCTGTCCAGATACCTGACAACAGGGGGAAAGGCTGAGCCGCGCTCAAGTGGAGAACCTGTTGGCAAGCTGGGGGGTGAGCGCTGAGGCCCATAGCAAGTCTGGTTTGGAGTTTTAGTGACGATCAGTAGACCCCATGGAAATGGGGGGGGGGCAGGGGAAGATCTGCCTTTCATCTCGACTGAGCTTGAGACCTTTCGCCTCTGTTGTTGCTTTTGCTGAAGGAACTGCTGCGTTTTGCCCACTGGTGCTGGCATCTTCCACGCAGCCCTGGGAAACATTTGGACTACTGCAGAAAGACAGTGTAACAGATCTAAAATGGAATTGCCTCCTTATTCTTTTCCGAGCCCTTTAGAAACAGTGGGCAAGCTCACATCACAAGGGCCAGAGAAACTCCCCAAGCTGGGCCAACTTTCTCCGGCTGCTCAACAGGGCCGGCTTTTTCGGGTGGCTTTTCTCACCCCTGCATGCGTGCTGCCAAGATCTGCTTTTGAGGGGGAGACGGGCATGTTCTCTCTGAGCAGAAGGGTGAGGGTCTTTGGGGTCCTCCTCGTCCCATTCCATATCCTGCACGGCCGTTCCCGGCGCCCCCGTGCCTTTCTGCAGACCAGCAAGCGCAAGAGGCTCTTTGCTTGAAGCAACCGTGTCAGTGTGCCGAGCGCCCCCCCCCCCCCCCCGATTCACTCTCCGGTGTATCCCTGAGAGAGACCGTTAGGGGCTGCTGGACACCCCACCCAGGATCCGAAACGCACCCCCCACCCCCAAGACCAGTTCAGCCAAGCACAGCTGAATCCACGCAGGGATCGTGGGCATATCTAGGGTGGTTTGGGTGGACATAATTTTCCAAACCCACAGATGCCCTAAAGAAGGTCTAACTCAGATAGGCAGCAGCTATCCAGCGTCTCAGAAGAGCTCTTCTGTAGACTTGCCCTCCTGAGACTTCTCTTTGACCACAAACATCCGGATGTTGTATTACACTTCCCATCATCCTAGACCCCGGCCAGCCATTCAGCTGGGAAGAACTGTAGTCCAACGATATCCATTTGAGTAAAGCCTTCTGCACTGATGTGGGTATGTTGGACTGCATCTCCCAGCATGCCTGCTCATTGGTTGTGGGGACAGGGGCTGCTGGAAGCTGTAGTTTGGTTGCATCCATGTGACCTGAGCACTGGAGGACCAGCGTGGGGATGTGTTGCACCACTGGAGCTGTGTGGCTGCGGCAACACACCCTCTCCTGGAGGAAGGTAAGTCCCCCCGCAGCTGCCCCATGGACCTCTAACCTGGTGCCTCTGGGGCGGCAGCGCTGGGGGTCCAGCTCTGGGGAAGGCCAGCGCGGCTTCGCTTGACCCTTGCAGCCGCCCTTGCGGAGCCTCTGTGTCCCCCAAATGCCCGAGTTGTATGGTGTGGGCAGGCTTCTCCTTCCTGCGCCGCAAAGCCGCCCTTTGCCACCCTTGCGTGCCTTCCATCGCTGGCTTTCCTTGCCCCTGGTCGAAAGCCTGGGGCTGACATCATGCCCGCAGCAGGCTCTTTCTCGCAAGGCAGATTCAGCCAGGGGCAAGGCAACCTCTCCTGTTCGGCTGCTTTCTCCGATTCATGCTGGAAGTGCCTGCCCCTAGACCCAGCTCAGCCATGGCAATGAGTGGGGCTCCAGACACAGTGCTTAGCCCAGCCCGATCAGGTGATGCCGGCGGGGACTCTTGGGCTGAGCCATTACTGCTAAAGGTTGAGCATACTTCTAGTCCTCATGATTCTGAGCTGAGGGCTGATTCAAGGCAAGAGAACTCTTCCTGCACAATTGCACAGTGAAAAAGCGGCGCTGCCGGAAGGCCAATGGGCCACTCCCACCTGTGCGCAGGCACGCGATTCTTTTGGTGTGTGGTTTTACACCTGTGTGAATGCGGTGCCGTGGGTCAGTAGAACAGTGCACCAAAGACAGTCTTGACATGGCTATGGGACAGTCTTGGGTGCAACGTGTTACGGCCACGCTCCCCTTGTGCACTAATCAAACGCTGCACAAGGAGATGGCGCAAGCTTGCATAAACACCCCAACCAGTTGGTGTCGTATCCATATATGTGTTCCGGGTTGGGAAGGGTGTGCACTGGTATTCCACACCTCTGGAGGGTGCTAAGTTTGGGGACAGCTGTGCTGTGGTGCAGTTCTCAGCAGGCCTAGGAAGAAAAGGTTGTTTAGACGGAACGGAGCGAGTTCATGCCCAGTACCGCACAAAGAGCTCTCCCAAAAGCCCCTCTGGATTTTGGAATTCTGATTCTGAGCAGGAATTGACACTTGAAGGAGGGAACTCTGTGCATGTTCAGAAACAAAAGTCTGGGCACTCCTCACCAGGCTTCCCTCAGGTCCCAGGATTCCTACAAGATCATGAGAAAGTGAGTCCTCAAGACCCCCATTATCGGGAGGCGAAGCACCATAAAGCTAGCATTATTCCTGGCTCCATCTTGCAAATGCCACCTTTCCTCAGAAGCTGCCCGAGGACCTTGAGGGCAGGGGATAATGGGTAGAGTTAATCCCCAGAATTCCCTCCCTCGGGCTGTGGGGTGGGGGGGCACACATGCAGAGTTTCAAGAGAAGGACCCAAGAGACTGCAAGATTCTGTCCTTTCTGGAGGAAAAATTCAAAGAGTGAGATTAAGGCTGAATCGAACTGGTTTCTCTCGCCGAGAAACATCTGCAGCATTTCCAGGGCTCTCAGCAGCCTGCTCATGGAGTGACTTGTCTCGGGTGCAAGACCACCCTGGCATGGGTTCACTGACACCCCACTGAGAAACCCCCCCTTTTGCCCCCACTGCCCCCGGCACTTGCTTTCGCCGACTTAGCTCAGCTCGGTTGGGGCAGCTGGCTCTGTATTGGGCAAAGGGCTGTGGTGTGCAGTGGTAATTCCCCACACCCGAAGGAAAGTGGAGGAAACAAGAGGCAGATTGATCCTTTGGCGGCTTCCACTGCTTTTCCGAGAAGAGCAGCTGCTCCACAGGGGAGGCAGTCATCTCGGCAAAGAAGTTAAGCCAGGCACACGCTCGTTCCCTCGTGGCTTTTGTCAGCTCTGGGTCAAGCCCGCCCCCCCCAGGATCTCTCCGGCTGCTGGGCAGTGCGGTGGTTGAGCGGGCGCAGGGCTGGGGCTTAATGCCCTGCCGTAGCAGGTGGGGGGCTCGCCGCTGCCCTTTGCCTGTCCAGGAGGCTCTTCCTTGCTCAACCCACCGTGGGTGGGTGGAAAGCTGGCGGCTGTTACTAGGTGATAAGAAGCAAAGCTCTGTGCCCGCACTCAGCGAGGTTTCCTCCTCGAGCCCTCTCGAACCGTCTTTCCCAACCTGCACCTTCCAGACAGGTTGGACTGCCTCCCCATCACGCGCCGCAAAGCATGGGGGATGATGGGGATTGTTGTCCGACACATCCCGAAGGCTGCAGGCAGGGGATGGCTGCTCGTGAGCAACGGGAGAGCAGCGGAGTGGGTGGATTTTCCTCCAGGGGCAGGGTGAGCGTGTGCGCTTGTTCCCTCCTGCAAAGTTTGGCGGGTGTCCATTCAGCATCTGTGGTGGAAAGACCTCCTCCTCCTCTGTCCCACCCCAGGCATTTAACCATTGCACCACAGAGGGTTGCCAAGACCACGGGGTGCATATGAGGAAGACCCACTCGTGTCCGAGTCACTGGCGTGTTCCACTCACGCTGGCTCCCACCCACCTCTAGTCCCGAGGACTCCGTTCCAGAAATGAGAGGCAAGCTATGCCCCCACCCCTGCCTCCGCCGTGCCTCGCCAGTCCCCTTTAAGTGTAGGAGATCTGGCCCGGCACAAGCAGAACTGCCTGCCTAGAACAGCAGCTCGTGCTCAGGGCCAACAGCTCTCAGGGCGCTGTCTGAGTATATCAGTGGTTCCGGCTGGTCTTGTCCCTGAAGGAACTGCATTATGGCAGCTTCTCCCAGCTCAGCACTGTCCAGGTGGATTGGTCTGCAAATTATTGGGCCTGGGTGCGAGGGTTTTGTCTGGGTTTGTCCATGGTTCTTGTGACAGCAGATGGAAATGCATACTTTCTGCAGGTCAGAGTGGTAAAGAATCAAAGGTCAAAGGAACACAACGCAAGAACAACAAAGTCATTGTGTGCTGAGAGGCGAAGCAGGGATGGGCAACCTGTGGCTCTCAGCATTCTGGTCAACAACTCCCAGCATCCACAGCCATGCACAGCGGGCAGGGCTCATGGGAGCTGCAGGTCAAACCTTGCAGAGCCACAAGTCCTGCCCTGGGTTGAAAGTTGGGGAAGAAACCCAGAGGTCCTCCTGCTGAGTCCTGCCTGACCTCCTACCCCAGAGCCCAGTAACTCGCCTCGTGGCTCCCAGTAAAGCAATTACTCCTGTTTTTTTGGCATTCAGTCTTTCAGGTGTTCATGCACTCATTAACTCTTCTCCCAAGGCCAAGCAGGAACCAGGGGCCCAGAATGTGGCTGATGGAGAAGATTCGTAATGCGGTACAGGAAAGCTCCTCCCGGGGCAGCAGCTCCAGGGACAAGAAACCCAAGGGCACAGTGTACAGAAACGTCCTGACACCAGACAAGATCCCAGATTTCTGCATCCCACCCAAGCTGCCGACGGCTCCTCCCGAGCCGCTGGGTGCGGAGGCCATGCCCATGCACGACCTGGGCGCCTCGAGCTCGGCGTTCACCATGACGGGCCACTGGCCCAAGCGCAGCCCCGAACTGCCACCCAAGGTGGGCAATCCAGTCCAGGAGAACAGGACCTCGCTGGAGATCGCCTCCAAGCACATCGTCCGGATCGAGCAGAGCAACGCAGGCCAGACCAGCCAAGAGTCTCGCAGCGACGCCCCACGCAAAAATGCCGACCACACCAACGTCGACCCCATGGCACAGAAGGCCATGTCCCTGCCCTACGTACCCAAGGCCCAGACCTCCTATGGCTTTGCCACCCTGGCGGAGAGCCCCCACACGCGCCGGAAGGAGTCGCTCTTCCACAGCGAGCACAGCAACCTGTGCCGCTCCCGGCCCACCTCGCCGAACCCGCTGCAGAGGTCTTCCTCGAGGTGGGGCAAGTCTGCCGAGGAAGGCGCCCGCCTGAACCCCCCAGACATCTGCAGCTCCCTCATGAGCTCGCACCGCCACATCGGCGGGGCGGACAGCGACACCTGCTCGTCCACCGAGTCCTCCCCGTTCGGGTCCCCGCTGATCTCGCGCTCGATGTCCCTGCTCAAGATGTTCGGCCAGGACAGCCAGTCCAAGGTGGTCAAGCTGAAGCAGTCCCTCAGCCGCAGCGCCTCCCGCTCCAAGGACAGCTTCACCAGCCCCCGAGCACAGCGCCGCCCGCGCAGGGGCGCCGCGGCGGTGGCCTCCGGGGTGCCGCAGCAGCTGCCGCTCAGCTCGGCCCTGCTGGAGGAGCGCCTGCACAAGGAGCAGGTGGTCAGCCTCAGCAAGGGGGGCAGCATGCGCCTGGCCGCGGAGTACAGCCTCGCGAAGGCCTGCCTGCACGTGCGCATCATCGTGGCCGAAGACCTCTACGACAAGCACTACGACATGCGCAGCATCAACTGCTGCGTGACCCTCTACCTGAACCCGGGCAAGCAGCAGAAGCAGCGCAGCAGCTTCATCAGGAACAGCCGCAACCCCATCTTCAACGAAGACTTCTTCTTCGAGGGGCTGGGAGCCAGCAACCTGAAGAAGATGACGCTGAAGGTCAAGGTGATCAACAAGGGAGGCAACCTGAAGCGCGACACGCTGGTGGGCGAGCGCGAGCTGCCCCTGACCTCCCTGCTGCCCTTTATCTAAGCCGGCTCCCGCGCCCCCTGCCGCAGAGACCTCCCTCCCTGCCGCTCCTTCCCCGCCCGCCCGGCAGCCAGGCGCGGCCGCTGTACCCCCACCCCGATCGGGCTGCCGCGCGTGTGTGGCGGCGCATCCGAGGAAGGCCGCGTGGCGTTCCAGTGGTGGGCACCCTGCTTTCCTCGGGGGGAAGAACAGTGTTTGCCTGCCCAGGCCGTGGCTTGAGTATTTTCGCCGGCTTCCGCAGCCTCAGATGAGAGACAGGCGTGTTGGCGTGCGAGATGACGGGCGTTTTGTTCCACTGTGAAGGCAGTGGGATGAGACTGGGAAGGATCCTTAAACTGGGTTTCTGGGAGCAGAAGGCAAATAGGGAGTCTCCATTAAAAGGCAATGTTTGATGACGTCCTGCTAGAAAGCAAAGTGTTAATGCTAGGGAAATATGATTGGTTCGTATCCGAAGACGAACTGACCCAAGTTACACCTTCTTGTCCAATCAGGGAGCTGCAGTGCAGCTCCCTTTGGGTAGTCCCCTTTCTCTGAATTTTGCAGACTAAAACAGAACACTCAGCCCAGCAGAAGGAGCTGAAAGCTGAGAGGGGAAGGTGCGGACTCCCGCACCTGTGGCACCTCACCCTTTGCAGTGTCTCCTCTGAGCTTCAGAGGGACCACCCGTGGGGCTCCGTGCAAGGGACATGGAGGCCCATGGGGAGAAATGACCTTCCCATTGGGAAGTAAATGCCTGTGTTTGTGAAAACAACTGGCAGGATTGTCGTTTATTCAGGGAAATGCGCAACAATTCGGTCATGTGGCATACAGAGATGCACATGCCAGAGGAAGCGCGCATGAACATGTCAGGATTTGCACTAAATAAATTGTACTCCGAAGAAGATTGCAAGAGAGATGACACAAACTTCAGGCAAAAAAGATGAGAAGAGAAGAAACATCACAACAGAGATCTGTGCATGCCTCGGACACGCGCCATGGCCGCCCTCTCTGCTCCCCCGCACACGCGTGTCTGTCTTCGCAATGCGGCACAGGTCTGCGTTTGTGTTCAGGAGCACGGATGGAGGTGGTGGACGAGTGGGTCAGGATCCTGACCCGGAAGTCGACTGTCCACAGGAGCGGCTTTCCGAGGCTTGCACTTTGCAATAGTTCCCGCCTCCCCTCACCTTGCCTTTCGCAGTTTGGAGATGAGCAGGAACGAGGCTTTCGAAGACTCGGCAGCTGGGGAAAGATAAGCTTGCCAGATTTGTGCTGGCAAGTCGCAGAGGACCTGCAGAGAGACAAGGAGTGGAGAAAAGGCGCCAGCTGGCCATCCCGTCCACTCAGCGGGCAACAGCCTTCTCGACTGTCAGGGCGACTGTCTCGGCTCTGCAGCACTGGTGTGACAAACCATCCACAAAACTCTTTCCAGTAGAACTTGTCCCTCGGCCTCCAGAGGTGCTTATACTCTGGCGGTCTTGAGGGAAAGTCTTTTCTGAGATCCCTCTGTCTGAACAGAACTTGGGATCTTCCAGGGACTCTGTCAATGAGCTGTGCTCCTTTCCTGAAAAGCTAAGCAAGTTTCCAGTCCTCATGGTTCTGAATAGCAGAATCCGTCTAGCTCTTGGCCTTTCTATCTCAGCGTCATCAGAACAGGCAGCAAGGTTTGGGGCTGGCACCCTTTCCCACCCTGCGTGGACATGTGGAGGGTTTGAGGCTGAGACCTTCCACATGCCAAGCAGGGGTTCCACCACTGAGTTACTGCCCTTTTCTCTAAAATCCTCTAAGAGTCTGGTCCTCATGATTCTGACTATAGAGCTGATTTACAAAGAAATGCCAAGAAACCACCTGCAGTATTGCACCCTTGGTCCATTTCGTGGTGTGTGCAGGATTTGGAGGTAGCTGTTCAGACTTTTATGGACAGCTTTGTCCCAGTCCTCTCATGCTTCTCCGTCCCGATAGTCCACCCTGGAGCATCACCTCCTGGCCCCCTTCCAGGTGGTGCAACCAGGTCATTTAGCTTTGGGCCACAAGGTCCAGACCTCGCTGTATCACTGCCCACCTGTCAGAAGGCTCCCAAACCAGGGAGCTTGCCCACGGAAAACGCACGGCTCTTGTGCCACGGAACAAAACAGCAGCTTCCTCTGTAGCCACTGCGGTGTGCATTGGATGCTGGGCAGAAAACGCCACCCCTGCAGAGTGGCCATGCTGGGAATGGTTGGAAAGATGACCAACTGGCAAGAAAACCTAACAACTTTCTTCCAGGTGGACGACATCCACCGCTCCTGCTAGGGAAGCCTCTTGGCCCCTTCTCTGGGAAGAAGAGGGGTTCCCAGCAGCTCCTTGAGGCCCACGGCTTTTCTGGCAGGTTTCCAGGCCGAGTTGCCAGTGTTTGGAGGGGGAGACTGCACCTGCTGGGGGTTTGCCATCAGTGGTGGATTCTTCCAGCTCCAACTGGCACTCTGTTGTTCCAGGGGCTTCAACTATCGCCAACAACAGGCCTGCTTTTTCCCTTTGGAAACCTCTGTTTCTTCACTGAGGTTTTCTTTCTCCCTCAATCCCACCAAGGCTTCTCCAGCAGCTGCCAATTAGTCTAAGCAGCTTAGCCTGTGGCTTGAATTCACAGCAGGAAAGAAAACGCACCGCACAAACAGGACAAACTGCCCATCTCCATTTTCCAAGCAGCAGCTTTAAGTCCGGGCTCTTTTCTCAGCTGACTCAAAATGCTGAACTGCCAAGGGAGGCCGGACTGGGGGGTTAACCCTTCTCTCTTGCGCACTCTCTGTATTCTCTCTCTCTCTCTCAAAATCTTGTTAACAGAGGAGTCAACAGACTGTTTCTGTTTTGCTGTTTCCAGGTGCCTGTAAGACGCTTCTGTGCTCTTCTTGGTGTAACTTTAGATCTAGCACCTAGTAGACTTTGCAGGTGCCCAGGTGTAATTTGTCGGTTGTGAAACACCCCTACAACCTTTTCTCTCCACTGCTGCTCTACGCTTTTGTGCCATTGTCTTGCGACAGCATTCCCCAAACTGAGCCCATTTTGGTGTGCTGAACTACAACACCCATCATGTCTCAGTTCACCACATTGTGCTCCAGATTGTGAGAGGGCTGTGCTAGAGTAAATACACCCCAAGTGCATTCTAAAATATATTTGGATAAGTTGTACTCTGAGCATGTGCAGTTTTGCTTTTGTCAAACATGCATAAGTTATCGCGCCATTGTGGCCATGGAGATGGAATGTGGGTTGTTCGACACACGCACCTGGGAAAGTGACACCTTCTGTTGCAGAAAAGAGAGCTCGTTTTCAACGTTAATAAAGTGAGAATATGTCATACCTGCAGTCCATTCCCAGCTGCGTCATGAACAAAGATTATAGTGTTAAACTGGTGTTTTTGTATGCAATGGGGAAAGGATTTGTGAGGGAGGGGGGAAAGATGCAACAGTCTTTTCTATTTGTTTATTTTATTCATATTGTACCAGAGTATATTTCTATCTATCGATCGATCTATTTTTCGAATTGATGTTTTGCTGGAGATGTTATGAGCAAACCCACCATCCTAATTTATTCTTTTATCTTTTAAAAAGTGGGGGTTCTTTCTGAGTGTCTGTACTTTTCTGGCCTGTATTTTGATCTTGTGTAATTTGGATGGCAGAGTTTTGGATGTAACATGTTGTTATTCAAAGCTCCTCTTTCCTCCTTTTATCTTTCTTCTTTCTGTGCGTAAATATGGAAATCTGCGCATTGCTTTGCTTTGCTTTTGTTTAAAAATGACTAAAATGCACACAGTGTGCGGCATCCGTTTCGGTTTCTCTTTGTGCTGTGGAAATACAAGGTGCATTCTGTTCGTGACTGTGGATTGATTTATTGGTCTCACTTTGCATGTAATTCACAGAGGGTGCAAAATGATGGAGGATAATTTCTACCTCTCTCGCACGGGTATTGGCTGCGATGCTGCGACATCACAGGATGTTCATCGATGTTCCTTTTGGGCAAAAATGCCCTGCTGTAAAAAGCGGATGGGGCAAGGGGTGGCAAAAGGCTCAGCTGCCCCCTCCCCGGCTCCCCATGGCCTCCTCTTCCTCCTCCTCTGAAGGCAGTGCTGCCTTCCAGGAGCTTCTCCGCTGTCCTTGCAGAGGCTAGCCACCGCTGTGGGCCCCCCAGCCCTCCCCCCAAGAGCGCCTTCCAGCCAGAGCCCCACAGCGTCTCGTTCCCCGCAGACGTGACCCCAGGGGCTGTGCTTACAGCCCCATCAGAGCTGGCACCTCCATCCCTTCCACGCCCGAGTGCAGACAAGGATGCCTTTCAGGGCAGGGAAAGCAGGTGGATGCTTTTTCTCGTGGGGAGAATTTCACTCGGCACAGTTAATATATTTCCCCATTTCCGCAGCCCCCTGGTGAGGCCGGGCAGGACAGGCTCAAACTGCTTCTCTCCTTCATCTGGCACACTGTCGGGCACCTCGCGGCCAGGCGGGGAACCCGTGTGCGGAACCTCGATGGGATAGCCCGGTGATCCACGCACCCCGCCGTGTGTGGGCTGGAACCTGTGAGGTCTCTCTGCATTTGGCTTCATCCACTTGGCTTTTGGAGTGGCATTTAATTCTTCACACTCACCAGCTAATTAGCAAACTCAACCAGCTCTGCAGCTCCCTTTATTGATGCTGATCAACCCTGCACTCCACTGATGTGCAGTTGTGTGATCATCGCATTTTCTCCTGGCCTTGCCAGCTACTCATGCTCCTTTCTCTTCCCCACCGTTAAAAAGTGGGGAGCACCGGTGATGCCTCGTTTCCCCCTTGCAGTGCTTGCGGGGCGTGAAAGGCCCCTCTTGCATCTCTGCCCATGGGGGTCAGGCCTTCCTGTATCATTTCCTCGGAAGAGAAAAAGAGTCTTTTGGTCCTTCGCGCTCGGGGTTCATCCCACCATGCGTATGCGGTGCAAGTTCCAAGCCAACTCGGGCGCAAGAATCTCTCCCAGGGCTCCATGCCTTCTGTCGGCCATGTTCGGGCACATGGGCCTGACCTTACGAAC